TGTTGTAATACTGATTTTTGAGAATTAGTTATTACTTAGAAACAGTTAAATCAATAGCTGAGCAAGTGAATGCTCAAAACTGGTAGGGTGAACCTTAGCTGCAAACTTCTCTGTCAAGGCTGCCTCCCAGCTTTTCCAGATGAAGCTGTTTTTACAGACGCTTGTCACTCAAGTTGTGGACAACCTGAGCAACATGATGTAATGTCAAAGCTGACATTACAAAATGAATCGTAGGTTTTATTTAGATGTCTTCCTGAGGTCCCTTCCAACCTAAAGTATTCCATTATTGTGTGTTTCTCCTGAAATATTTTTACAGCATTTACAGCATGATGTATAAAATTCAATTAAATAAAAAGGATAGAAGAAGTAAACATACTTCATGTATTTTATTTTCCATTTTGTGAGCTTGAGTCACTGCTCATGATTTTGTCTCATTATAGTAGGAAGAGTTTGCCTCTCAAGATAAGGATAAATGGATTAGTTGTGCTACTGCACACTTAGGTTATTTTCCAATTTGTAGGAAGAATAAAATATATGTAGTCCATAATCAACTATATTCTGTAAGTCTAGAAACAACAGCATACCCTTCTTGAACAGGTAGTGGTAGTATGTTGAATATGGAAAGACTTAGCAAAATTTCTAGAACATAAAAATACTATTTTGGTTTTTGGTGAAGTTAACATGTACAGGTATAAATGAAGCAAGCATGATATCAAAGAGATAGGTTAGTTTACAATATGACTTAACATTTCAAAAAAGCTTGTGGTTTGATGGAAGTTATAAATAAATAGGGTATACTTTTAAAAACAGTTGAGACTTCTTTCTTGAGCTGTGCAAAGTACCTCCTTTTGCAGATCTTCTTCCACAAGTAATGTGTTCCCATGTTTAGTGGAGTAAAGTTGAAAGAGAAAAATGTATCTGGCTAATCACAGAAGCATATTCCATTTCTTCCTTTTCTGTAGCTGAATAATTTATAATCGCTGAAGATCTCTATTTGTATCTCCAGTTTTTGTTCTACATGATGAAAGAGGTAATCTCAAATTGTAAAATGTGTACAACAGTGTAATAGTTCTGAGATTGCCCCTGAGTTTTTTAAATTCCTGGTCTGAAAAAAAAAAGCTGTTAAAGGCACACATCCCACTTTTACTAACACTCATTTATAAATTAGTTTTCTAAAGTCTTCTACTTTATCCATGGTGTTTGTCTTTGAACCAGGAACATTTTGTGTGGTTGAACTCTTAAGCTGCTTTTTAGCTCAAAAACACCCCAGACCAATATCAGTGAATGTGAAGGATCTTTTTGAATGTCTTCTTGAAGTTCTGGTTACAAAGAGGATACAGGAAAGGATTTAATGTGGAGTTCACATAGCCAAGCCATACAGTGAATGTGTGCAACTTTGAAAATTGTTCATGGCCATGGAAAGCTATTACCATAAATAATACAAAATAGGGAATCCAGCACAGCATAAAGGCTACCATTATGACCCCTAACTGCTTAGCTGCTTTCCTCTCCCTGTTCCTGTGCAGTCCTTGAATGTGCCTTTTGGAATGGGTATGCAGACTTTGCCAGGTTTTCCTCAGGTAAGACACTCTTCTGAAATTCTTGTTCTCAGTTTTTTCCTGAGGACTGCTGGCTCCTTCAGGGCTAGGATTGGAGTGTTCTTTGCAGGGTGCTGCCTCTGTGAAAGTGTGGTTGTCTGATGCATCACTTAAGTCACTCTCCTGTGAGCAAGGCTCCTCTTCATTTTTGTTCTCTTTTGTTACACACACGCACTTCTTTCCTACTTCATTCAGGCTTGGCTCAGACTGGGCAATGGTGAGAGGAAAACAGCTCAGATTAAGGACTTTCCTATTACTCGTGCTCCTGAATGCCTTTGAAGACTTGTCAGAATTACTGAAATGAAGCTCTCCCTCCACGTTTTCAGTCTCAGGTGTGCTTTGCTTGTCTTTGGGAGTTGTGTTCTCATCTAAGATTTGCTTTTGGAGGCAAGTATTTTGCTCATCCTTTGTCTTACTATGATGTATGGATTTTTTTTCTGAGAAAGGTGGGTGCAATCCATTGATAAGCTCTCGGTGCAGACAGTGCTTTTGAACAGCTCTGAATATTTTGTAGTAGAACCACAGCATCATGATAGAGGGTAGGTAGAAATTGACAACGGCTGTCAACACTTTAAACCAGGTAACTTCAGAGAATTCAGTTTCACACGTGTTTTCCTTTACTTTCCTTTCTCCATTATTAGCAAAAACATGCCATCCTAGGATTGGAATGACCCACGTGAAAGAGAGCAACCAAACGCCCAAAATAATTAGCGATGCTCTCATTTTTGTTCTGTACTTGAGATATTTCAGTGGTTGCTGAACTGAACGATAACGGTCAATGCACAATATGAAGAGACTGAAAATGGATGCAGTACTGGCCACATAATCCATTGACAGCCAGAACAAACAGGCTGGTAAGCCTAGAGTCCACACAGAACCTAGGAGATACACAATATTCAGCGGCATAACGGCTGCACCGACTATAAGATCTGCAATAGAGAGGCTGATAACGTATAAATTGCCAACTGTCTGCAGCTTCTTTTCAGTTTTCACAGCACATAGTACCAACATATTCATGACAACAGTGATCAGTGAAATGCTTCCCAGGAACACACCTAGAAGAGCTGAGCCGGGGTCAGTCGAGTTCTCTGTTGTGTTTTTTGACATCTTTTGTGCAACAACACAAAGAATGAAAATTAGAGATGTCCAGGCCTTGGAATTCAATCTTGGTTTACACTCCTGGATGAAAACGTGTTGGATTCTTTGTGATTTTTATTTTCAGAACTATAGAAAAGAAAAGAAATATGCTCAATCACTGTAGTACTAGAATAAAATAATAAAACTAATCTGTGCTTCAGCTTAGTACTGTCCCTTTTAAGACTTCCCTAAATAATAAATTTTTACAACATTTTACACATGGGTAATTTAAGATGTGTCCTATGAAGAGTACTGGAGCAAGCTCCATGAACCAATACAAAATGGTTTGCAGAGGTGTTACCTGGGGATTCATATAATTGTGATCCAAGAACCTGGAGAAGAGATTTCAGTCCTCACTGTCTGAGTTTCTTATTTGTCATTAAATAGCTGATCAGGAACTATAACATAAACTACATGTTGTCAAACCAATTTAAGGTGTATTAATAAAAAGCAAACTAACATGTGTTGTACTAAGTAGTTTTAAGCAAACCAGTGATTAGTTACAAACTACATTTAATAGTTTGCAAATACAGCAGTTGGATTTCATTATCCACTAATAACAGGGTATCATATGATATCAAGTGACAGGGTATTCCAAACAATAAGAAGACTGCAGCCAGTACACACCTTTAGATGATAGACAGTCTCAAATAACTCCTAAGGGTACATGAAGTGCCCATGTTTTCACTGGTAGGCAGTCATTCAAATTATATATAATGAGTTATCTCTTCCTACCCAAATTAGGCTTACTCAGATTTCACACATTTAAAGATGGCAGCGCTATTTCATTTCAAATACAAACTAAAACTGGAGGCTTGCAAATGTGATGCCCATCTACAAGAAGGGGCAGAAGAAGGACCCAGAGAACTCCAGAGCTGTCAGTCTGACCTCAGTGCCAGGAAAGGTGATGGAACAAATCACCCTGCATGCCATCACACGGCACATGCAGGACAACCAAGCGATCGGGCCCAGTCAGCATGGGTTCAGGAAGGGCAGGTCCTGCTTGACTGATCTTATCTCCTTTTGTTGCAAGGTGATCTGCTTAGTGGATGAGGGAAAG